TCTTCTGTAAGTGTTGGAGACCCTATTTTAATGTTCCATTCAGGCTTCAACTGTATAGTTGGCAACAGAACAGCAGCTGAAGACTAGTGTTTCGCACATCGTCCCAGTCATTTCTCCTGCGAGTGAATCATAGATCCATAATTCTCCTCTATAGTTGCGCTAACCACTGACCTTTATGCCCATTCCCTTAATAAGCCAAAATAACTGTCTACCGTCACCTATCGCCGCTGCCTTCTCTACCTCTGTAGCCTTCGCTGATCACCACTTTTCGCGGTTATTGTGTAGACTTTTTGTCAGCCTACACTTGAGCTGCTTCTGCCCTTCATTGTGCTCGGAGTCTTTACAGCTGGGTTCGCATGTACCCATTAATTTAGAAAAGCTTCTGAGATCAACTGACCCTTCCTAACCACTCTCTGAGAGTTGGTTACTGTCTTCAATGCCGCTTCTACAGAAGACTGAAGGTGGTGCCTGGCTTCTTTTAGATGAATGGCGCTGTTCTGTTCTGGTAACTGTCGAACCAGTTTCTCCATAAAAAAAGCCTTGGTGCTCTTCATCGAGCAGCACTTGCAATGGTCTTGCTGCCATAGTTTTCTTGAGTTCACTTAGGTGCAAACATAAACGAGCACGAAGAAAAACGTAGTCATCGTCCATATGCGTGCTCAAGGAGGATAAGTAATCTTCCAGAGACCCTCTCCAACAGCAATTGATATTAATATGGCCTGTGTCCACGGCCAGGTTGAGGTGGGTGAACACCACTGCAGATAATGTCACTTTATGCCTGTAGTTCATTCTGGTAAGAAATAAATAGTATTCTGAGCACAACTGTAGCAGGTGATCGCAGTCATCTTTTCGTTCAGCTGGAATTCCGAAAGTACCTTTCTGCCTGACAGCCCACCCATTTGTGTATTGAAATCACCTGCAACAACTACCACATGTGAACGATTGGCTTTCAGTGGGAGGCCAGACAGTTTTACGTAGAGCTCATCCTTCACTTCATCCAAGACAACGGCGAGTTTCACCAAACCTTTTCGTACTCATTGTGCCGTCCAATCAAAAAATGCATAGATGGCTGTCAAATGGAACACAGTTGAGTAGAGCTACCCGTCTTATTGCTCAGTGCTACACCTACACCTGCAAGACCATGAAAACTGTCCATGGAATCTCCAGAAACTCAAAGGGTGAATACTGCGGATTCACCATACCGACCAGGTCAGGCTAAGTGAGTAATCGCAATTAAGTTCTTTGTGCGTGTCTCACAAGCACAACACACACTTATAATCTGAGATGCCACAGTTTTGGCTGGTGACCCTCGCTGGTCGGTTTGATGGACGGTGCGAACAGTGAAAGCTTCAATATGAAGTTTAACATGAGGTTTCAGGAGGGCAGAGATGCTGCTCTGTGGGCTCATATCGTTTTTAAGAGTTGCAGAACTGGAAGAAATTAAGGATGATGTAGTACTATTGATCCAGAGACGTGAAGAAAGATTAGAAGTTAAGAATTTGGAAGATGGACAATGATCTGAGGGAACTTGAGTGCGTAGAATTTTGAATATTTGTAGCTCAGGAAGATAATTTTGGTGTTGTGTTCTCTGAGTTGGACAATTTAATCGTGGAGCCTTCATTGTCATTCTAGACGACATCACCAGTAACTGAGTGCTGAAAGAGTTGTGAGGGCGGTTGACACTCCGGGTGTCCATATTGTGGAAGGCTATTTCTTTATGAAGAACATGAAAAAGGGTAGGGGCATGGCCGCAGAGCCTAAAAGAAATCTGCTTCAGGCCGATTACACACGACCTTTTTAGAAGTTTGAGATTTAAGCTTGTTACCTTCGACTCCGACTATGAACACCATCATCAATGGCACCGGCATATCGCAGGGTAGAAGCGAGTGTGCCATTTTTGAGGCCGATCTTTTCTGCTCCTTCTTCCATTCAGGAGAAACACCTTACAGCTGTCACACTCCCGCCCAACCAGCAGTACTAAAACTTCGCCCTTGGAACTTCACCACAGGGAGAAAATCTGCACTGTAAAGTGGACTGCTTTTCGTCTTAACAGTATCTAAAGAACCTTTCTAGTATGGTGGGACTTCATTACTTGTTTAAAAAGCATGGTAAAACATTGCCGGTGACAGCCACACCAAACAAAATAGCGTAATGATACTAAAAAGGTCAAGTGATATAAGAAGGAGAGAACATGTAAGCAAAGCAGAAGTGGATTGTAAGAGAGACTATCTTAAAGCTAAATTCTAAGAAGCACCCATTTCTCCGAGTTTACTACTCAGTAGTAGAAGTAACAGGAAAGCTACAGCATGATCGCCACCGTTTTCGATTCTGACATATCTACTATCTTCTCAAGTCACTGAATTCTTTAATCTCTTTGACCCCATCAAGATTCTGCTAATAGAACACAACTATCCTCCATCTTACGGTTTCACAGAGTACACTGGCTACCTCTATCCACTTCTTCCAAAACAGGCTCGAGGGTAAACGAACAATAAACATTTCAGGAGCTGCTGGAACGATATTCGTAGCAAATGTGCAAGGTAAATAGTAAGTGCAGTTAATGCTTGTCTACCCTTTCTAAAGGTTCGGCAGCTGTCTAGTTCGGTTTAGTTGCAGTAATAAGATCAAACAATTTCTTTACAGTAACGCGCTTAGAATATGCAGATGACATAGTCCTGTTAAGTGAAGACGCTGAAAACATGCAGAGTCTTCTGAACACTTTGAGTGGGAATTTGAGAATGTTTGGGATGCGATTTTCACCACCCAAATGCAAATTTTTGCTCCAGGACTGGTCTTCAGTGGTGCCACAGGTAACAACAGAGAGTGAAGTGGTTGAGTGTGTCGACCACTTCACTTACCTGGGAAGTAGGATCAACCCTGGTGGACCAGTGGCCGATGAAATCTCTACACGGATACAAAAGGCTCGATTGGCTTTTGCCAATTTACGCCACCTATGGCGCCGCCGTGAGATCAGTTTGTCTATTAAGGGTCACATGTACTGCACACCAGTCCGGTCTGTTCTACTGTATGGTGGTGGAAGACATGAGAAGGCTGGCTTCAAGTGTTTGACCACCATTGCCTACGTAGCACAGGACGTATTCCGTGGTGTCACCATGTGAGTGAGTAATGCACAAGTCGGGTGTAGAGTTTTAGGGAGTAGAGGTAAATCAGTAGACGAGGTTATAAACCTTCATCGACTGAGATGGTTGCGACACGTACTACGTATGCCCAGTCACCGATTGCCTCGTTACACAATGTTGGCTGAAGTAGGTCCAGGCTGGAAAAAGGCCCGAGGTGACCAGACGAAAACATGGCATCAATGTATGAAGTTTCTGACTGTTGGTTTGAGCCATGTGAGTGGGGAGATGCAGACTAGGTGGTTGGGGTCGGCGAGATAAGAGGAACGAGTGGTTGGAGACTCTAGGTGATATGGTTCAGAACGGATGTCAGTGGTGCAGATGTATCCCCACACACATTATCCTCATCTTAACGATGCTATACCGAATCTTACCACTTTCTCATTCTTCGTTTCTCTCTTTTTGTACTTTATATTTCTTTTGAGTGGATTCTCTTATCTTCATCTTGCTCCTCACTGCCTTTTTACTTGATGTCCTGACTGAAATGAGGTGTGGCAAGTCGGATTGTTACGCAGTAATACCTGGTCCTATGCTGATATCGATTGATTGATTTAGGTCAAGGATTTTGACGATCGCCAAAACGCAAGATTAACCTGACACACATTAAAGTATGAGGAGAATTTAAACGTCCTGGAGAAGCATTAACAGTTATAAGTATACACATAGATCGCTACTTGCTGTGAATTACTTAGGTAACAAAATAAGGAAACCAGGTAACGATGGGTGTGACCGGGGTTGCGTTGGCTAGAGATGGATTGTGACTTGCCTAAAGCTACGGAAGACGGTAAACAACTTATCCTCACAGGTCACCTATACGATTCCTTTGAGCCTAGATACCCAGAATGTACATTCGACATCCAGCTTGCGCTACGATATCTATAAAGTACACTAGGTAGATAAGCTAACTCATTAAATTGAAGGTACAACTCATCCCTAACTGAATACGAGCTGCATTGATTCAATGGACGGACAGGGATGACGAAGAAATCGTCTACCTTGCTAGTTAGTTCTCACCCCAGCCTAACAATACAGTGTTTAAAGAAAATCTAGTCGATTAATGCAGCTTCGGCTCTGACAAATAGTGCGAGACCGAGGCTAGCAAAGTCAGATGATGGTGCCTGTTATTTGTTCCGGATAAACGTTTAAGGTTGTCCGCTTAAATGGTACATATGACTTCAGAATATCAGATATCCCACAGGACAGCTTCGTGGAAGCAACCACTTAGCGACTTAAGAGGAGGCACACAGACCAGATTTTCGGTCAGTGATGAGCAGGTGTTTTACTTTGAGTAAAGAGATCATTCACAGTTCCACCATCTTATTATTGTGCACACAAGAGTTCGTTCGGAATATTCAGTAGCTTTATAGTTTTAGAATGTGAAGCAGCAGTGGAGACAGTGTGAGCACACCACACAGAAGAGAAAACTAATGGGAACAACAATAAATCTTTTGACCTTAGTCTTTCCACTTCCCCATCTCGCCAATGTGGTTATTTACACAAGAACTTATCATTAATCACATAAAAAAAAGTGAAGACAGTGACTAATTGGCACCCATTAGTAACTGTATAATGTATTAAATGTCTCAAAAGATGGTGAGTGAAGAGTCACTCTTTCCAACAGCATTCTCAAGCTACAATGTGATTCTGTAGTAGGTACTACATATGCAGCAACACCAAAGTTGGTGCAATGACAAGAATTGGCACTATAATTTCTGTGATTTCGGTTCTTTAACCCACTAATTACTTTGTTCACTAGGACAAATACAATCTCCTCAAAAGAGTCTACATCAAAAACAGATCTGTAAAGCATGAAGTATATTACTTAGACATATGAAGGGAGATGTTACTATAAAATTTACTCACCCACTGTAGTTGTACCACCAAGAAGAGCTGCTTTTCCAGCGGAAGAATAGTTATCAGCAAGAGGATCATCTGAATTTGCTACACCAATATGACAATCCAAGTCAACTCCACCTGTGAAAATAACTAAACAGAAGGACTAAGAATGCTTACCAGGCAACAGCAGTTTATCATTTACATTGATAACTCTGGTACCCTCGGGGCAAGTAAGGTCTTCGCCAATAGCCCTATGAGTGAAAAGTAATAAACGCATTTCTCTTACTGGATAACTCCATTTTGGATCAGTACATCCGCTTTGAGAGATGCATCATGGTTTATAATTGTTCCACCTTTTAATAATAGTGATTTGATAACCTGTATGAATTCACCATCAACCTACAGACAAAATCTTACGGTAGAGACATCCGGCATCGGTGTGGATACAGGTGATCAATATTGATGAACAATGAACCATATTTAATATTTGGTCTAGCAATCAGCTTGCCAGGCGAATCGTAGGACAAGGTTGTATGAATCTCAATTTTATTGGCTATTGGTGAAGTTAGCATCTAAAGCGAATCAAATGCACATGGACAACCTTGAGTGGGCAAATGTAATTGGCTGAATCTTATCGATATGTCTACCTAGGTGAATAGGCAGAAATATTACTCAGCTGTAGAAAAATGTATCTGCGCAATAACCCTATCCTGTATACAGTCAGTCACAAATAAAGTATCTGTAGTCTGGCATAACAATTTTCTTTAGACTGTTGTTCTGGTCAATTGCTCAATTCTTTCGTTCTAATTGTAAGCCTGACACATTACTTTTTTGAGATTTGCTGTAGGACAGGTTTAGTAGTGCTTTGGTGATAACCGGTCTTTTTCCTATTGCCAGGAAATAATGATTTTTTGAATACCTTCGGTTGTATTATCGATGCAACAAACGTGTCTACTGTAATTTTCGGCAATCAGTTTGTATTTATGTGGACCCTAAACTGTCATACTAGTTCTAGAGAAGGAAGCCGGCAATTCCAATCCAGTTGACGAGTCCCAAGCAGGACGAAACATGCATCTTGGATTCCAGTCACTAGGCACTGAGTTGACTAAAAAAAGATGACGTCAAGTTGGAGATTTCATTAAGGATATTGTAGTTGGAACGTCTTATAGTACGTCTTGACAAATGATATTTAATTATCAAGGATGAATAATTCTCGCTGTAACAACTTTTTTCTCTAAACGGCCTTAAAACTGCTATTCCTGTGGAATTTACCAAGGTCGCCCTCGACATTTTTGAATAAGTTTTACGATTGGAACAGATGGTAGTAGAGCGTATGCGCCTAGAAGACAACCTTACAATGATTTACATTGGAACATTTCGTAAATGTTGTTCAGGTGCACTTCCAATTTATCTTCAGGTGATAGGAAGCATAAATGCAAAGAAGTAGCCAGTCAGAATCCCTACCCATAAGATCTATTGTGTATTAGTTTCCAGAAATTCCACATGGTAATTGTAGCCTCGTAGTGATATGATTTTCCAAGAAACTGTTTATTCCATAGTAGGTGTGTCCGATCGGGATACGGATGAACAGTTGTTTATCATGCTTGTACCTTATCTGGAGTTTCCATTCATACACTCAGCAGATCTGCTTTCTTCAGTTGGTATTATTGATGAACTGGTGGCAGTTTACTACCCAATTAGGAGGTAACTGTCGCAAAGAGTGATATTCTGTGAAGAAGTATAGTAAACTAGAGGCTATTGGACAACTATTTTGGCCTAATGCAGTATTCTTCTGGCGCTTTTCACACTCATCTGCTCACGAAATAGAAACTCAGGCTTTCATGCATTCACTTCAGTTCCGTTCCCAAAGAAATCGATAGAATAGGGTTCTGATATGATGGGTTTATCTGGACAATGCTTCCTTGTTTCTTTTTGGATGGTTTTTCCCCATTGATATTAGTTTTGAGATAAAGAAACTTGAAGAGAACATAGTGGCCAAGATCATCTATGGAAATCGAAGTAGTCTCAGCAATCCCATTCACATTCATGCAGTTGGCAATTAGCTACATCTACCGCTGGAAGAAATGGAAAATGGATCACTGAATAAGGAATGAGTTGATTTCAAGTCATGAAATAAGGGTCAAGCGTTGTAAAATGATGATAATGAAACTAAAGTATGCAAAGTATAGTGAAACGATTATTTATTGATACTTATGATTTCCTATTGTTATACTGGATTGTCCGACTTTTTTGGGCTCCTATGAATGCCACGATACTGCCAGATATTCATTATGCTATATTTATCTTAGTGACTAGCAATGGGATGCAGGTAGACTCACGTTTCACCTTTATTTGTGACTCTTCAGCCTGATACACCTGGATCCCAGTAAGTGATCCTGTTCCCAGTGAGGCTTGATTCCAGTAACCATCCCTTGAAACACCAAAGCGTTATCCACTGGAGCACAACAGTCACCATTTGTGTAATGAGTGTCAATTTTTGTTTGCTGATACTTATAATTTTCCGTTACCATGCAGGGTTCAATTGCTGGACCTCTGTTGGCAGATGAAGGTGATAAACTAATTAAAACTAATTGATAAGACGAAGATAGATAAAGAGGTTTCACAAAATGCAAACATGAATACATTGTTTCAACTTTTGCTCACATATAGCTGGTGTTTCAGCTACGCGTAAGTCATGGAAATGTTGACATTTGGAGTAGTTCAGTTGAACTTTGTAAATTACCTTAAAGGATAAATTTCTAGGAGGTAAATTCATCTGGGCAACGAACCAACCAAGAACCTATCGCTCAAAAAATATGCAGAATGAAATAGAGATGGATTGGGCATGCACTGAGAAGACCATTCGGGGACATCACCCGCCAGACCAAGCACTCGAGTGGAACCCAGATGGAAAACGACGAGTTGGGCATCTGAGTGTGACATGGAGGAGATCGTGCGAGGAAGAGATGAGAGCTTCTGGGCAGTCGTGGAGCCAGGTTTAAAAGATTTTAGAACTGGAGAGTGTAATCGAGACGTGCTACTGAAGCCCTATGTTCCACTAGGAACTCAAGAGAAAAATAATAAACGATAAATTCACCTGACTTCATTAAGTGTTCATATATGGATGAGTTTGTTTCTCCTCGCTGACCTTTGCTAAGCCAAACCGGATAATGTTCAACAACGTGTTTCTAGAGGGCCAACTTACAACACTGAATATTTTCGAATCCACAGTAACGTGAATTTGTTGATACACACAGATGTGGACATAAGTGTCAATCTATACTTCCCCGCATTGTTGAGTTACACGATAGCTCTAGAGTATAAACCATGAGATAGCAGAATAAAAGGTACTATTAATACACTTTAACAGACAGACCTTCACCTATGACACCACCTTGGAATTTCAAATTCATGATTAAAATTTTCTTCGGAACTGTAATAGGATGAGGAGTAAATCATTTCAATAAATTTTTCTACGGTATCTATTATTCGATAGTATTGTTCACAGAGTTTCAATTTCTGTATCCATCATGACTTCTGGAATTCTGAAACACAACAAGTTAATGAGATTTCTTATACTACTATAAGGTATCCAACTATTAGTGAAGTTTTGAGGGAGTTGTGGGGATTCGGAAATATTTCAAGTTGTTATTCATCGTAGACTGACGTCAGTTGCAGGAACAAAGCAGACCTGGGAGCACTGGACAGCCGACTGTTTCGTCCTAGCATGGGACTCCTCAGCAGTGAGCACCCACCACCCCACCAAAGATCGAACCCATGACCTTCAGGTCCCGTGGACAGCACGTTATCATTAAGCCACTGGGTCATGAGGACAGTTACTCAACGATAACATTGGGTGGCGGTTGAGCTGTATTGTGAACTGACAGAAGTTGGAAATATGGAGCATTGGATTCTGACCTAGTGGCTCAATGGTAACATGCTGGCCACTGTACCTGAAGGTCATGGGTCCGATCCCTGGTGGGGACGTGGGTGCTCACTGCTGGGGAGTCCCATACTAGGACTTAATAGCTGTCTAGTGCTTTCCGGTTCTTATTGTTCCTCCAACTGATGTCAGTCTACAATGAATACTTGAAATATTAGTGAAGTCTCCAGTACAAGTTGGTTTGCGATAAACTGGCTTTTAGATCGAGCTATCATATCTTCTCTTCAACATCACGTCTAATAAATCAAACGTTGAGTTCAATTTCTTATTCTACAGTGAATTTTATAGATGAGTGACAATTATTGAATCGTCTAAGCAGTGCATCAACTGGATATGTTTCGTCACAAATAAGAAATGTACAGATACAGATAAAGTTCTGAGATTATTTCTTTCACTGATTCATTTTCGAGTCGTGGCATGAAGATATCCGCCAAAATAGGGCCTAGTGGAAAACCGACTGCTATTCCATCCATCCAATTATATAATAAAGCTGACATGGAGATAGAACGAAAAAACCGGTCTGAAGAGGGACCAACCAAAATGTGTTTAATGTTATCACGTCCATAGTTAGATAGATGATGAAAGCGAAAGTAAACGTGGGGACATGGAATGTCCACACTATGTTTGAACCTAATAAGGCTGCCAAGATTGCAAAAGAGATGAGAAGGTATGAATGGAATGGAAGTGCCTGGAATCTGTGAGGAATTTGTAGATGGAATGGGAGTGGACTATCCCAACCGTCAACTGGAGAGTCAACAATCTACTCCGATATTGTCACCCACACGACAAACACGAGCACACTGAGTTTCGGAGTGGCTATCATGATGTCTCCAAGATCATCGAAGGCTCTCTCTCACACAGTGGGAACCAATCTCCTCCTGCAGGATCAGCATCATGACAGCAAGATTCAACTGAAAAGGAAGGAAAGTCACAATCATACAATACAAATGCTACACTGTGCACCTACAAATAATGCAGATGAAGAGAAGAAGGAGGAATTGTACAGACAACTGCAATCAGTACTAGACAAGACTCCAGTTGGTGACATCAAAATACCAATGGGTGGGGTGACATGATGAATGCCAAACTGGGAGTGGACAGCACAGGAAGAGAACTAAGCATGTGTTGAGAAGCGCTTGGTGAGGTGATGAAGGAGAATGGAGAACCGTTTGGAGAATGCTGTGCATATGCAACAACTTGGTGATTGGAGTGGGGGAGTGTGTTCAAGCACAAGGATATCCACAAAGCGACATGGATTTCACCAGACACCAGACACCAGGACACACTACACTGAAAATCAGATCGACTTTATTTCAATGTGGATAAAGTGGAGATGCACTCAGCCTACTGGACACAAGATCAGATCAAGAAGTGGAGCAGATGTAGGTGGTTCACACCACTTACTATCTAGTGCAAGGGAACTTCAAAATGAAGTTGGTGATCGACAATAGTTTAAGTTCAACACCCACAACAGAAACTGAAGGACGAAAGTACAAGGGAAATCTTGACGTGAGTCATGAGAAGTGAATGGGAGAGATTGAGCAAGATCCCTGAAGAAACCTGTGTGAATGAACACTGGAACTCTTTGAAAGCTATGTCGAAAGAAACCTGCATAACAATATTAAGAAGGAAGAAGAAAGAAGATAAGAAATGGATTTCCACGGACACATGGAGGGAAGTGAAGCAGAACAGGCTGAGGGCTGGTTGGAGAGTCAGAGACCTGACAACATTGTATCAAATAAACAGGTTACTATCTGGGAAGAGATCAACACAGATGAGACCATTAAAAAATGAGGAAGGAAGTCTAATTACCGAAGAAGAGAAAAAAAAGGAAACAATGGGCTGACTACTTCAAAAAGCTCTTGAATCGACCACCACCGCCACCTGCAACTCGTCCACAAATGCCAGCAGCAAAGGCAGAACTACTAGTGAACGCAGGCCCTCAGACGAAAGTCAAAGTCCTGAACACCGCAAAACTACTGAAATGCGGGGAAGCAGCAGCACCAGATGGAATTCCGCCAGAAGCACTGAAAACAGACGCAGAGACAACAGCGAACATGCTCACAACACTATTACAGAAGGTGTGGAAAGAAGGAAAGGTACCTGCTTATTGATTGGAAGAGGGTCTACCTTGCCGAACTGCCAAAGAAGGGCTACCTTAGTATTTGCAATAACAAGAACTGGCGCGGAATCACGCTGCTGTCCACCCAAAGCAAGCCAATTATTATGCGGCATCATCCTGGAGGGATTAAAGGATGCGCTGGATTCAGAATTACGACCGGATTAGGCTGGCTGGGTGGCTGGCTTCAGGAAGTACAAATCATATGAGAATTAAATTGCAACGCAACGCTACGCATCATCATAGAACAGGGTGTAGATTGGAAGTCAACTCTGTACCTAAACTTCATCGGCTTTGAAAAAGTCTTCAACAGCGTCGACTGAGAAGTAATTTGACAGGCAGTTGCTCCAACACTACGGAATACCACAAACCTTTATCAACCTCACTCAACAGCTAGCTAATATGGAGACGCCACATGCCAAGTAATTCACAACACTATGGGAAGCTCAGTGATGCCTTTGAAGTGAAGACAAATTGCCTTCGTGCATACAGGAGGCTAATTTGGAAACAATTCTCGATTTGAAATACAGCATCAGGCAGTTTGCATCTTCACAGCGTTGTACACTCGTGACGTCATATAAGATCAAGTTACGGACCCTCAAGTCTTCAGCCCAGTATCTTATTGATCAGCAAATGAACTTGGAATTCTGGTTGACATCCACCCTCACTCCTATATTGGTTCACTTCACAGATTAGAGTTTCTTACTAAAAATTTGGAAAATCTATTTGGAAGTTAATCACTGTTTATTATTCATTGTTTTCTTCATAAAACATTCGACTGGACAGTTATCACTTTATGATGAATGGACATGCAATAATTGGAATGCATTTTTTCCTTCAACAGTGAATACATAATGTTTTTCAAGCTTGTACATTTATTCATAGGAATGTATTGACTGTCTTGTTAAACATTGATATGGCGTCTATAAGACTTCAAGACCATAAGTTGCAATAGTTGTATTATACTGTCGTTGAGTGGACCCAACTGATCGGTCTGTATTGGCATATAAGCTCCTGCTCAGACGTCTCGATACTGCCTGCGTCTTAGTTGTAGTAATGATGGATAGTAGCTAGCAGAGGAATCCGGGACTCACTAGTCAGCTGGATGTACCAACCTCCCAGTGAGTGATGTTGTTCCCACCGGGATTCGGACTTGGAAGCGGTCGCTTCAAACGCCACGGCATCTCCAAATAAGACGAGATGCGCATCCTAAATTCCACTGCTAGCCACTATCCATCATCCGCGCAGGAGCCCAAATGCAAATAGGGACTGTTATGATTTGGAAGACTGCTATATGCTATGGCCGCTAACGATGCACAGATATCGACTGTCAGCCACCAATATTCAACAAATTCCTAGTTGATTCCTCATCCGACACGACTTATTGATGTTGAAGAAACGATGGATGTGTAGAAACGTGTATTAGGGTCGAATACCGAAAAAGGATGGATGGGAGAGTTTATTTCTCCGAGAATATAATGAGCAATCAATCCCAAACACACTTGAATATGTACACATAGGAAAAATGACCTTGTCCTCAATTTGAGACATTTGCATAGTAAGAGCAAAGATTAACCAATCAGCGAATTACATTACGATGGAGGCAGAAAATAAACTACTGGTCATACCGTAAAAATGGCGTGAGAATGCCATGTTAAAAATGTTCAGATCACTAACACTGTTTTATGTAAAACTAGGGTCTGACAGCAGAGACGGATCAATTCGGTCCAATCAACGACGGTGTCATATAAGCAATTATACTAAAAACCATATTTGTCGCACAAGAAGTGGGTATCGTGGCTAGGTGGTGGATAACGCTCTCACGTTTGAAACGATCTCTCTCGGGTCCGAATCCTGGTGGGAACAACATCGTCTATTGAACTCAAGGTAGTCTTCAGCATGGATCGACATCAGTTAAGGCTTTTCCTACTGCTTAATTACACACAGAATCTTGTTCGGTTACTTATAGTTTGATTTGTTAAAATGTCAATATAAAAGTGTATATAACTTGCCAAGATATTTTTGATACTCCCAAATTTATGTCCACCGAATCAAATTTAGTGAAAATGTAGGACTCCCCAGTAACTGATCAAATTTAAAACTCAGGTTGATAATCATTATGGATTGACATAATGTGGAGAAGTATTGGATAATTGTTTCGTCCCAGTATAGGATTCCTCATCAGTGCATATCCATAGTAGTTATGTCAGTGGCTGAACCAAGGATCTTCAGATCGAAATGGGAAGGTATGGTGTTCCGTTGTATATCAATCTGGAAATCAATAAATTTTCACAAACCTCTAAATATTCATTTGTTCAACAGTGATTTTATTCGAAAACATCGAAGACGGATAAAATTATATTAATCACAAGTCTCATTCACCTTAATATTTTTTTCACTATGACTTCTATGACCTTGTCCAGAAAGTCAGACAACTTATCGATTTTATTTCAATAGATGAGTCATTATACGAAAGGATTGTTTATATCATAGATTGGATTGTGTGTCGAATACCTAATATACAGCGTGTGGATGATTACAAATCATATAATAATAACAATATTATAAACTTCAGGATAAAAATTTGACCTGATAAAGTCGAATAAGTTGCCCATTGGGTAAATAGATTATAAAAATATCTGTAAAATCCCAATGAAGTAGTAAAAATAACAAATTTCTGACGTTCTATAACTTCATGGAAATCGCTGGAAAGCCCGTCGATGATAACTTCGAAGTCAAGACAAATTTGCCACCTAATGTCACCGATGATACTCCTGATGTGATTATGGTCAACTAGACTGGACTGGAGTGGATCATTCAAGAAACTGTGAGGAGTCACGAGAAGATGGTCATACGCTGACTGTACCCATGAAAAGACCTCAGGAGAAGATTAGAATTTCACTGATGCTGATTTATATCTAATGTGTTATGTCTCATAAACTCGAAGATGTGCAGGTGACAATTAAGAAGTTGGCAGAAGAGAGAGGTCAGCGAAGGAAGACGTGACTTTGTTCAGGTGAACGTGGAGAAGACAGAGTTAATGAAGATACCCAACTGACCAACCATCCAGTAACCATCACCACAACAACAACAAGCACTAATCACCATAAAGGGGAGAAATCTGAAGGAAGTTGTCTCTTTCGCCTACCTATCTACCTACATACATACACAGCAGAGTTTCAACTGCAGGTGGCGGCGGTGGCACAGATAAATATGTCAAAGCAGTCAGGATGGGAAAGACAGCAAGTCATGCCTTCCTTCAATTATCCGAAATCAGTGTGATCTACTGCACTACATTGCACTGCACTGCAGTGGGTACTTCCGAGCACGTGGAAGTTTAGTACTGAGTGGATGTGCTGAGCTAAAATCAAGATATCGATTTGAATGTGTTGGTTTACGATAAATCATTGAACTTTAACTTCCGTTCCCATTCCTTTTAACTAAAGAGTCTAGGAATGGTAGTTCACTGTTCATGTTGAAACGTGAATTTAATGTGTGGAGGATGAGTATTAATTAGTTTTGTACAGGTTCTGGTGCTAGATCTTTTAAAAATTACAAATGTACCATGTGTTTATCTCAGCCAAATGCATGGCATGATGGCTTTAGAAAAGATGATTGATTCAGTGTGGAACATGAATAGGTTTGCAACAATAAGGGACAGTGCGTAACCCATAGTTTCTCCATTAGTTTCTTTGTATAGTTTCCCTCTAGACGTGAAGAGTGTCATCTTTAAACAAAATAAAAGTAATAATAATAGTCACTTTATTCCAGACACTGATTTTTGACAAAATGAAGTTCACGAAGTGTGGTATCTCAATAAATTTACTCCTTTGATTTAGTAGCTTGTGAATTTCAACCGTCGACTGAACCGAACTGATCTGTCATTATCGGCATATCGGCTACTGTGCAGATGCGTCGATAGGGCGCAAATCAAAGAGTGGTTATCGTGACTTAGTGGCCTGGTGGATAATCCTTCGAGGTTTGAGGCGATGAGTGTCAGGTTCGAGTCTAAGTAGTAGCAAAATCATCCACTGTGATTCAAGAACATTCAGCTGACGAGTCATAAATAGGATGAAACGCATGTCCTAGTCACCATCAGTCGTTAATATTATACTTACTCCTTGTCTAATATCTTCAAATTCAATAACCATGTCAATAATAGGTGCGACAATCAATCATACACAACGACCAGTTTCTTTCAGGCTATCGTCTAGCTTGGAAATAAATTTGATAGGAAGCAGCCAATAATAAAAATCGACATTTGGAGGTCATCAGCCGTTGAGGTAGAAGTGGTTCACTTCAGATTTTGATTGGTGTCTATATATGGACAAAATAAGCTGATTGGACGAATCGGTAACCAATAAGATTGTGTTATTCTATCTTTGGCCTAGAACATATTTGTATGTGGGAGTTATATAATGGTATCAAATGAAGTCACCCTTTCAGTCATAGGTCGACGTTTATCTTTTGATGTTTGCATTACTCATTGGAGAATGAAGTGCTGAAGGGAAATAGTTATTTCGGTATTCATTTCTAGTGTATCACTGCTTTCAGTATTGTTATTACCTATGTCTAATTCGACTCGGTTGCTTCAAAGTTATAAAACGGGTTGGGAGGACGAAAACAGAAAAGAACTGGTGGAAGTTTATTCAGCCAGTATGAAAAATTGCAGTTCTAGCTATATGATGTACCGTGGTGCGCTCAAGCAGTCATCGCCATCCACCATGATATTTTGGCATAATGTTATGGTTTCGAACGTCAGTGGTTATTTATTCCGAAACGAATATAATACGCGCGCTTATCTGACAGCTAACTTAGTACGCAAGAGTCACCGACTGCGATCCTGGGACGAATAGAGAGAAGATACAAGCTGGATGATGAGAGAGTTTATTACTCCGAGAATATATGATAATCAATCCCAAAACAGGTGAATACGTATGCACATGAAAAATGACCTTGTCCTCAATTTGAGGCACAGGCGTGGTAAGAGTGGGATTAAACAATCAGCGATTTACATTACACTGGGGACAGGAAGTAGACTACTAGTTATACTGTAAAAAATTGGGTGGGAATGACACGTTAAAATGTTCAGATCAATAACAATGTTTTATGCAAAACTGGTGTCTTACAACAGTTAACTTGTCCAACAATAGATTGATGACATTTTAAGGATTCTCTAGAGTACGTTTTATGATATGTTGACATTTGACATTCTCAGTTTAAAATTTAAGTAGGCTTCGGAGAGCGATGATTTGAAACAAGAGGAAACGATCTTTTGGGGAATGTAAACTACAACCTAAAAGACTTTTAGTTGAAAAAAATCTGTCTCATGGGTTGAAGAGTTTCTCATTTTATCACTGGGGCTCTAACAGGAGGGTTAGGACAACTTATACGCATTTCATTGTCCAGTTACCTGTCCATAATCTCCCGTAAAATGATGCTTATTGCAACGACAAATATATTTGGAGAAGTAGTCGAACTGAGAAGTAGAAGGTGGTGGAAGATGTTCTCAAAATAACTGGGGGGGGACAATTCCTTTCAAACAGCCTGATAATTACAGGGGTCAGACAAAAATCATCATCTATAGGTAAACACATGCAGAAATGAACCCAAAGGAGCCGTCACGACCGTAAACTTAACTATTCGAAAGTTCAAACCCTCACTTTGTGTATTTAAAAGTAATTTATCCTTACCTTAAACCTCACTTGGTTAACTTTATATGATTTGAATACCAAAGGAGGTGTGAAAATATATTATTCCTCCGTATATTCCCCTATTTTTCAAATCTTATCATTCTAATTTATTCACCCCTTCACCCTTCCCCTACTTGTACCATTCATATAAAAATGATTGGATAAGTAAATGTTCAAACAGAAAGTTCAATTTGTATTGCGCAAACACACTGAATTGCTAGGATAACGTCCGTCGTCTTGTTAACTTATGCGAATTCATTGAAACGACTGACTGTTTCAAATTTCCGATTATTCTGTTTATTTGATGTATCACAGAGTGAAAGAACAGTATTATTTACTGGATACGGTTTTAGGACATGACCTAACGTCTATAATCATATCACGTAACTCCACAACTTTGAGGCGCGGTTTATACACTTTGAATTCTTCCGCTTTCTCTGTGATAAGAGTAGGACAATGTTCGAGAGAGAGAGAGAACAGGCTGTTGTGACCGAGTTGTGGGGTTGCGTGCGTGGGTATAGTGAATACTGAGACTCAATAGACACTTCAACCGAATACCTTTACGACTGACCTACCTCAGTACCTTCTGCTTCACTGAGCCGCGGAGAAATCAGAAGACAAAGACGGCCTGTGACTGCAAGAACAGCGACAACTTTTATTAAGCAAATTCATGACACATATGTATTTATAAAACTCTCAGAAAGTGAAGCCATAAATGAACCAATCCGATTTCTCGTATGAGGTCGAACTTCTCCAATCAGCTTCTCATGTCAGTCATGCATAAATCATGACCTGAACATGATTTCATCATAACTTGAAAACAACTCCCCTATTAACTGCCTTTTTGTCGCTATGTATCACAGGCGCACAATTATTATCATTCCGTTTGTATCTATAGATGAGAATTTTTCTAGATTGCTTATTTATTCTTTTAGGATCTACTAACTATGTCGTCGGACAGCCTAAATGGTTCTTATTCGGACATGCACTTGTGCACGGACGAAATCCTTGATTCCGAAGTTAGCCACTACTTATCAGTAGTATTCATCGATAGTTGGCAACAGATAGTCCTACTTTAGAGATGTGCTTTCGATACATAGATGATGCATTTACAGTAATGAAATCTGAACATATTCATGCGTTTTTTACGCATCTAAATTCACTAGTGAATGCAATCCGACTTACCTATGACTTAGAAAGGGATGAAGGGGAGTTGGCAATGTTAGATTGCAAAATAAAACGAACACATGGTGTGAGTTTAGAGACGAGTGTCTATAGGGTACTTTCCCATTCAAATCCGTACCTAGACTTCAAATCATCTCACCCTATCTCAGGTTAGTAAGGTTTGGTTAAATGTTGAAGTAATAAGGCAGCAGTAATACTACTCAGCTGATCGTTCATCTCTATGGTGATTTCATCCCCTTTGAATTTCAATTTATGTTTTCAAAAATCTGCTTATTTGCGCTTAAGACCATAACATCATAACTACCTTTGAATAGCAAAAAAAATATCTAAAAAATGCCAGTACATGGAGGATTAAATTAATTTTGAAGTGACCGACAGAATAATAATAGTAAACAAGCGAATGATACTAACTCAATGAGACATTTTGACTGGATAGAAATGCCAACTGTTCTTCCTCAGAATCCTGTACTTCACTGAGCCACAAAAATCAGAAGACAAAGACCGGTCTAT